GCAAGGAAATGTTGGAGGGTATGCTTTGGTTCAGATTCAGGACATCAAGGGTTTATAAACTTTGTCTGCGTTTATAAACTTTCGCTGGGTTTATAGGTTCGACCTGAGGTCGCAAACTTGTTGAAGTTCAGGCTTTTAGCAAAACAATAGGGGTGGGGGGATACTACGCAGCCCATATATATATATATATATATATATAGCTTAGTTGGTTTTATAGACGTTTATACTACTCACGAATTCCCAGAGAGACATGGTCATATATCCGTAGCACTGAATCACCCGCCCAAGCTTCACTGCAAGTAGTCCTGAACACCCCAAAACCCGAACTAGCGAAAGCCTATCGCATAAACCCTCAGCCGCAAACCAGCAGCCGCAAACCAGCAATCCTTAACCCCGACACCCTAACATCCCAAAGCCCGAAACGGTAAACTTTTCAACCACGAGAAATATGGGTCCCTTTATTCTATTCAGCTTACATCCCACAAATCCTATGCCATACACACTACACCCGTAAACACAACACCCCAATCTATCGGCCAAGAGGCATCGAATCTCGCGGATTGATGCCGCAGGCGTTGAAGCAGTCCGAGGGGAACTCACAAAGAGTCCTGGGCGGAGGACCAGGGCTGTCAGTCCTTACAATTCACGGCTTTCACTTCAACGCTTAACATTCAGGCTTATGGGTTTAGGTGGATCGGACCTACCAAAGGCCCCTGGCGAGTGCGAGAGTTTAGGGTTTGAGGCTTTGCAGGGTCTGGGACAAGGTTGGGAAATTAGTATACAAGAAGAACGTCGGGAATCAGAAGCTTCTCGCGCAGTTTCCTAGAGTTTACTGGCAGGGGAATGTCTACATTGCCCAGTGCGCAACATCTGTCTTGGCATGGCTTCGCAGGGTCCTGAATCCTAGGCCAAGTCACCCTGAACAGATCCCTAAAATCCCCAACCAATCCTCGACCCTCAACCTTACACAGATTCCTGAAGCAGCGCCATGCCCCAAAAAATCCACACCGAGCCGCTCATAAGTGCCGGCGGGATCCAGGACGTTCAGCCGGGCCAACCGAGATCCCTGGCAAGCGGCGCCGTCCGGCCGCGTGTTCAACACCTGCCTGGGACACCACAAGGGGGTATTCTATAAGATTACCACAAGGGTTACTGTAAGGTTTATTGTAGGGAGCTGTAAACTTTTTCAGGATTTAGGGTTGTGAGGTGGACTCCGCTGAGAAGAAACTCCCAAATGGTTTGGGAGTTACCCGTTTTGGGGCTTTGCGGGGTTCGCGTTTGTCGCTTTGGCTTGAGATGCGGCTGTGTTGGGGCTCCTGTATGCCATTCATGTGTTCACACATATGTTCGAAGGAGACAGACCCACTTAGACTTGCCTAGATCCAGCTGCAAAGCTTTGCTTCTCACATCGAGGCGTGGCCTCGCATCCAATGCAAACGCTTGCAATCCTGCTATGTGGTGGTCCACTTCTCGGTGAGATGGCAGACAGCATAGCCAGTGTAACCGATGCCCATAGCAGAGCTACAGGAGTATACAGTAGTCACCCAACTAATCGAGTATGGTTCGAGCTTGGTGATTGTGCGAGCGAACGAGAAAGAGAGAGGGGGACAGAGAGAGAGAGAGAGAGACAGATTCAGGCTGCAATCGAAAGAGTGAAAAACACGAGACCCTGACCCCAACCCCGTAACCCTGCTGTGTTTGGGAGCTGGGCTCTGCAACCCAGGAACGCCCTCTTAAGACTTCGCGACTCGAAACTGCCTGAAAGGAAGAACCACAGACAAGAACCAAAGACCGAAGTTCAAGCGCTTCGGGGTTTGGGGCTCTTTCAACTGGTCTCCGGCCACGCCGCATGGCATTCTCGCGATCCTGCCCGGCGGTCTGGCAATCCTCGGGGTGAACGAAACACCGAACCCCAAACCTTACTCAGCCCCTATGCCCCAGAAGCGATTCGGTGGGATGCGAGTTTCTTCTCTGTCTTGGCTTGAGCCACAGGAAGTCCCTGTGGCCCGCACGGCGCGCTGCCCCAGCGAATATGCACGTGGTCTGCGACCGGAAAAAGATTGGGGCCCGTCCTCTGAAAACACCAGCGTGCCATAGGAAGCGTAAAGTCCCCAATCTCTGAGTCCTGCTACGTTTCTCTCTCTCTCTCTCTGTCTTTCTTTCGCCAGGGCTGTGGTGGGTAGTTGCCTCCCCACCGCGTGCTAGTGCGCCCCGCCTGCTGCGGGTGCCAAGAGTCTCTGAAAGCATACTCCAAAGAGGCAGTGATCGAAGAAAAGGAGAAGCTCAAACACTACTGCAAACAACCACCAACACTAAAAGCTCTCCGGCAATCAAAAGTTTGTGCGATGCTCTCTCTTTTTTTCGCCAGGGCTAGGGGCAAGGGGATTGCTCCCCTTACCGAGAGCATCGCTCTCTCTCTCTCTCTCTCTCTCTCTCGCTCTCTCTCCCGGGCATGAGGACCCCAGAGGGCTTCATGTTGCAAGCGAAACTCCCATGGTGTGCTTGTGCACGTGCTCGTGGTGGACTGCAAGGTTCCAAAGTTCCTTCCATCCAGCGGCTTAGGGCTTTGGGTTTCAGGTCTTTTTTTAGGGTTTAGGGTTTAAGGTCTTTTTTAAGGTTTAGGGCTTAAGGTACTTTTTAGGGTTTAGGGTTTAAGGTTTAGGGTTTAGGGGTTTAGGGTCAAGAAAGGATATGCTTGAGGGCATTGAGGCTTTTGCAAGCAAGGCAAAAGCACGGCCCAATAGTTCCGGTCTCAGCAACTCATGCGGAGGCCATTCTTGATACTGTCCACTTACTCTCCGTATGCCCGTACTGCAATGTTGCCTGGCTACAGCCTCGCTAGAACCTCGACAGGACACTGTAGCGCCTAGCAAAGTTGTGGGTAGCAGCGCTGTTTTCTCAATTTTGATTGCCTTACTTGGAGGTTCATGGGCAGTTATAAGTAGGGTTATAAGTTCCCTCATCTAAGTTATAAGAATAGTTACCCTACTTATAACCCGACTTGCAACTACCCATGAACCTCCAAGTAACAATAGTCCCTAAAGCGTCAGCCCCAACCCGAAACCCTATTCCCGAAGCCCGCAACCAACGTCAGATCACCAAGATCACCAAGTCTACGCAAGATGTCAAAAAGGGTAGGGCGTCGGGGTTAATAGGGCTTTGGGTGCACAACGGTAGAGCTTAGCCGTTGCATCTCGAGTGGAGTGGAGAGATGGCTGTCATGCAAACAAGGCTTGGGTTTAGGGATTCCTACATTCAACACTCGAACCCCTATCCGCTAAGCCCTAAAAACCGAATCAACTTAAAGGTGGACTGGTATAAAAGCGGCCCAGACGAAAGCTGTCATAATGGTGGGATTTCAGACAAGTAGTATGGGTCATCTGGAAGCCGTGAATATCAGATGAGACCAGCGACAGCAGCAGCAGCAGCAGCAGCAGCAGTCTGACTGTCTGTCTGTCTGTCTGGCCAGGTACGTTCGCTAATATGGTTTAGGGGTTAGGGGTTTTGGGTTTAGGCGGAAAGTTTATAGTTTAGGAGCTGGCGCGGACCTTCAGGTTCAGGAAAAAGCTTCAACAATTGAGCCGCTGCACTTTTCGATGGCACCCTTTTCTGAAATTTCCTGCAGTCAAAGCAAGATATTCAAAAGACAGGGATCCCCTTTAAACCCTCAACCCGAGATGTGCTGCAAGCTCCAACATGAGCCTGTACAGGACCCTGAACCAACAAAGCGGTCCTTGTTGCGATGGAAATGGCATCGAGCCTCCCAGGTTCTGGGTTTAGGGCCTAGGGTTTACCTTAAACTACCAATGGACCTACCTTTTTTTTGTGGCGTTCCTTTGGTCTCTAAAGCAATCGATGATAAGAAACTCAAAGCAGTAAATTATGGTAGTTCAACGTAAGCCTTAGGATTGCAAATTTAGAGCTTTCGGGATTAGGGTTCGGGGGCTTTGGGGTTTGTGGTGCATGCTTTTGGTTGTTTCGACTCAGGTCCATCTGAAAGATGCATCAAGAGTTGACGCCTTGAACAAAAACCTTGAGCTGTGGCCTCCTCGCAACTCAAACCGGACAAGGTAATTGTCGCATTGGGCTCCATCGTACTGCTGCTATGCTGGAGGCTTCGAAGATGAAGGAAGCTATATGAGAGAGACCCCAAAAAGCGCTCACAAAATCACATCTGTTCAATGAAGACGCCGCCGAAAGAGGAACCTAACATGATTTTTGAAACCTCCATGCACAAGTTATCGGGGATGCTATGCCAAACGGCTGACGCCACTCCTATACTCCCCCGCCCCACGCAAGCCTGCGATTCTCATTCTTCCTTTGCAGCAACACCGTCTGCTCCTCTGGGACTGCACAGGCTTTGGACTTTCATGTTCAGGCTCAAGAGATGGGGTTCCAGTAGGGTTTTGCCGGGTGTGGGGCTTTGGGCGCTGCGCTTCAAGGTTGAAGGTCAGGGCTCTGGGCCTTCGAGGCTGCAGGGCGATAAGGCTTTGGGGAACAGGGCCTTCAGGTTTAGCTTTGAAGCTTTGGGGATTGCTGGACTTCAGAGACTTGGGGGAAAATCCCTGACCAAAGCCCTCAACCTCAAACCCTCACCCAACACCCTAGGACCTCTTGAAATCCGAGTTTAAAGCGAAACTGCACAGAACCCGCAGGCTCCGCAAACGCTGCCTCAAAATCCGGCGACTGCCTTTGACACCCAAGAGCTGTAGGTCTTGACGATTCAAGGTTTTCGTGCCTGAAAATCTAGTAAACCGCCCTTGCAAGACAATCCGTCCGCACCTTCTGTCCAGGGCCAGAGACGCACCCTCAACCCCGAGACAAACTACTTCCGTTAAAAGGTTTTATCGGGAAAGAAAAAACGTCGGGTAGAGCTCAAGCTGCTGCGAGCTACCTAATATTGGGGCCTCATTAACTCGAAGAGGGTTTTTGGGTAGTACAGTAAAGTAAAGTCTAGTATGCTACCGCCGGTGGCAGCATGACAGGCATATGTTCTGGGCAAGGACGTAGCGCAGCTCATCAACAGCAATCCAATGTACACGGAAGCTGTCTGCAGCTTCCAATGCTTTCTTCATGAGGCTGGACATCGGATTATTGGCTCAGTCTAGTATAGTACAGTATCATATAGTTATAATGAGGAACCGCAGCCAGTCACATCGGCAGAGTCTGTTGGTAGTTCTCGGTCCAGAAGCTCCTGACCATCGCATCGCCCGGCCACCCCGTCGCAGGCTTGCTGAGGGGTCTCGGATAAGGCTGGCGCCCAACCTCGCATTCAAACGGTTTGGGGTTTACAGCCTCGGGTTTATATTCCAAAACTCGCAACCCTGAACCCTGCACTGCACCGCTAGGCATCCGGAACACATTCAGCAGGGGCTGCTCGGAGAAATATACTAGAACCAACACCATCGAGGACAACAGCGGCACTGCGGGCTTCAACTTCAGATTAGCCGAAGCTACGAACCCCGAACACGCTTGGATGCTCTTTGGGCTTAGTATGAAGGCTGAATGAACTGGGGATTCTTGTAGATCTGAGGTAAGGGTTAGGTGTTAGCGCATCACCATTCAGCAGCCTGAATTTCTTGGTTGTCTTCGAAAATTCATCCGGGACATCTCCACATCCACTGTCACCATCGGGCTGATAAGGGGCAGGTCTGTTGCGTTGAACGCAGGACTGCAGTGTCAAGACTCTGAGGCCTCACAGCCTGGACAAAAAACATGACCGACCTGCAACTGCTCCCATAGTGATGGGTGACAAGTGCACCCAGGGGGCACGAAAAGGCAATCAGAATGCAGCTGAGCAGAGCCATACCGGAAAGACTCCAAGAACTTGAACCGCAGGCTCTATGGCTCAACAGCGGGGAGGAGGGGGCCTGGGGCCACAAACGGCTGCAGGTGCCGTGGGCCATGAATCCCGTCTCGCCTATGTTGTTTGCACAGGGCCCATCACAACGAAGGCAACAAGCATAACCCAATGGCTTTACACAAACTCGGCAAGTCAAGCTTACAACCAGAACAGGTGCCTCTGTTCTGACCGAGGAGCACTATTCTTTGTAAATGTGACTGGCTGAGACCACCATGGCAGTTCACAAGAAGAAGGACAAGCGTT